TCGCTACTAGGTTGGAGGCCATCGCTACTAGGTTGGAGGCCATCGCTGTTGGAAACGCACGCAAACCAACTAACTTACCATTTCGATCAGGAAATGGTTGTTTCTAGGAACGGAGCAGGCAGCTACGTCATTGGCACATGTTTCCGGCAACTCACGTGCGTGGACGACATCGGGGGATGTGGGGGCAATGGGAGGGATATAGAAGAGGAAAGGTACTTGACTTCCAAAAGTCTTCTATAATTATATATACCTTTGAGTCTTTCTTCTCCTTGGTGCTAAAAACATTGGTCCCTTCCATTTGCCCACAAAAGGTGTGCAAGGTTGAAGCGGTTACTTACCGCTCTCACTTTTACCGTCGGGTGGCAGAAAAGGTGTAAGGTTGGACCCCCTTGCTGTTCTAAACTTGCCCTCTGTTGGCCCACAAAAGGTGCTCTGTTGGGGTAGAATGTTTCCTGTTATCATCCTGGCGAGGGACCCCTGTGCCCAGTGTGGTTCGTAGAACGAGACAAGGTCGGTGAACTGTTGCGAGTTTTTCCGCACTCTAGCGCACAAGCACACACTTAGGATAGGGTGTACTGAACTGAAAGCGGTGCCACACGCCGGCCTAGGGTTCCATTTCCTAAGGGTACACGTATAAACCACTGGATCCTGGAGGTCTTCAAGAGGAAGTATGGCCCAAAGGGAAAAAGACGAGCGACGAACCGACAAGATGACGTGGTGGCGTGCAAGTCTGCGGAGCTCACTAGCACTTTACAAAAGGAAGAAGGGTGGCCACCAGCTGCATCTTATAATGCGCCCAGGTGCACCAAGCAGGTACGTTTTCACGACAGCTTGGATGGGTCTTCGTTGGCCCATGCCATCCAAGTGTCCATGGGCCCCCTGCTGAAAATTCGAAAATAAAGCAAAACAATCCGAAAGGATCCCTGTGATTCCAAGGGTTACACACACACGCCTCCCCGAGCGGAGGCATTCCTTCTCAACTAAGCTCCGGACGATGGTGGGTTCTCCCAAGCAGCGCAGGCGCCGGCGGAGATCTGGGGTCAGGTTGTTGGAACCGGGAAAAGGAGAGCCAGTAGTGAGGCCGTCGGGCATGAGCCACCGCACCGACTGTTAGGCGCCTCCCCCTCATCCCCACCACCAGCCGTTTTCACCTCCAAGTGACCTGCTTCTTCTGTGCTTGGAGAGACCCTGCACTCGAAGATGCCCTTGAATCAATCGTGCAGCTATCACTACTCACATGCATAGATCTAAGAAGCTGGATCTTCGTGACAGGGGTACTCCCAAGCAGTGCCGGCGCCGGCGCAGGTGTGGGGTCAGGTTGTTCACGTGTAGCGCCGGCTCGCCAAGTGGCGCGCCGAAGGTGTCCATGTAGGAAACCACGTCCATCCAGAGGGCGGCGGTGTGTCTGGTCCAAGGTCAGAGACGAGAGCGTAGAGCTCCGAGAGGAGGTAGTCCAAGGTGTAGAGGTAGAGGAACCGGAAACAGGGGGGGGGTGAGAAAGTGGGAACAGGGAAAAGGAGAGCGAGCAGTGAGGCCGTCGGGCATGAGCCGCCGCACCGACTGTTGGGCGCCTCCCCCTCATTGGTAGTCCAAGGTGTAGAGGTAGAGGAACCGGAAACAGAGGGGTGAGAAAGTGGGAACCGGGAAAAGGAGAGCGAGTAGTGAGGCCGTCGGGCATGAGCCACCGCACCGACTGTTAGGCGCCTCCCCCTCATCACCACCAGACATTATCACGTCCAAGGACATGCTTCTTCTGTGGTTTGAGAGACCCTGCACTCGAAGATGCCCTTGACTCCCACCGCTTTAAAACCAAACAAAAAGGGAAAAAGAAAAGAAAAAACCCATTCCATCAGCAACTTCGTGACTCCAAAGGTCCCCTCCTGTCACGGAAAAGGAAAAGAAAGCATTCCGACTCGAACCTCTTGAATCGAGAGGGCACACACATACACACGCCTCCCCGAGGGGAGGAATTCCTTTTCAACTAAGCTCCGGACCATGGTGGGGTTCTCCCAAGCAGTGCCGGTGCCGGCACAGGTGTGGGGTCAGGTTGTTCACATGTGGCGCCGGTTCGCCAAATGGCACGCCAAAGGTGTCCATGGAGACTACGTCCATCCAGAGGGCGGCGGTGTGTTTGGTCCAAGGTCAGAGACGAGAGTCCGAGAGGAGGTAGTCCAAGGTGTAGAGGTAGAGGAACCGGAAACAGGGGGGTGAGAAAGTGGGAACCGGGAAACGGAGAGCGAGCAGTGAGGCCGTCGGGCATGAGCCACCGCACCGACTGTTAGGCGCCTCCCCCTCATTGGTAGTCCAAGGTGTAGAGGTAGAGGAACCGGAAACAGGGGGGTGAGAATGTGGGAACCGGGAAAAGGAGAGCGAGTAGTGAGGCCGTCGGGGCATGAGCCACCGCACCGACTGTTAGGCGCCTCCCCCTCATCACCACCAGACATTGTCACCTCCAAGAGACCTGCTTCTTCTGCGCTTGGAGAGACCCTGCACTTGAAGATGCCCTTGACTCAATTGCGCAGCTATCACTACTCACATCCATCAATCTAAGAAGCTGGATCTTCGTGACAGGGGTTCTCCCAAACAGTGCCGGCGCCGGCACAGGTGTGTGTGTGTGTGTCACCCTTGGAGTCATAGGGATGCTTTTGCATTTGCTATACAGCAGGGGGTGCCAGGGACCGTGCAAGTCTGGCACTAACAAAGACGCTTGCACTGGTCTGTGAAATCAATCCGGGACGCCGGATTGACGTACCTGCTTGAAGAGAACCCTACGTAGAGCACAAGCTGTCTACTTCGTTGTTTCCTTCAGCTGCGATGAACTAGACTTTCCTGCACGTTCCGTCGTCCTTGTCGCTCGATCGTTTCGCAGACTTCCGCTGGTTGGCCCTTTCCTTCCTTCTAGGTTGTTTTTACCTGAACCCTTAGGAAATGGAATCCTAGGCCGGCGTGTGGCACCGCATTCAGTTCCGTACACAATATCTCAAGTGTGTTTGGCTTCGCGCCAACCCGGGATGAGCCCGCAGAGTGCCTCCCGTGGACCCGTTGAACGGGTGTATGTCGCTGTTTCCCTTGCTCTGGAAACGTAAGTGCCCACAGCGGGCGGAGGTGGCCCAGGCCGTACGTCCGATGATCTTTGTCCCATCTTTGGAATTCCAAGTTGGCTCATGCCTTTACGTGACCGCAGCGGTCAAAGCAGCCAGCCATGTTGGCACGGCGTACGTGGCCGCAGCGGCCGAAGTTTGTTCAAGGTTCATTGGAACCTGTGGGAGCCTTAGGTGCACATACATCGTACACACTTCAACGAGGCAGGTCTACCTAGGTTGTTATAATGAGGTTTGGTTTCATCGGTTCCCGTCCCCTCCATTTGGTTCCCCTTTCACCTTTCCCCTTCACACACACTTCTTTTCCTCTTTCTTTTCATGTCTTCCCTTGCTTCATGTCCGTTCATCTCACTCCTTTCGTTCTTTTGCGCGTACAATGGTCCGGGCCTTAGTGTGTACGCGCACGTCTACGTTCAACTCAGGTGTTAGGTCGCCCAGGTCTCGACAATGAGGTGGGCTCATCGGTTGTCCCTGTGCACTTGGTTTCCCTTTCATTGCAACCACACACATTTTTGTCCTGTCTGTCTTCCTTTTCATGTCTTCATCCTTTTGTCCTTTCTGCGCGCACATTTGCACATTCGTCCTAGCCTTAATTTTGCCTCCCCTCGGGGAGGCGTGTGTGTGTCACCCTTGGAGTCATAGGGATGCTTTTGCATTTGCTATACAGCAGGGGGTGCCAGGGACCGTGCAAGTCTGGCACTAACAAAGACGCTTGCACTGGTCTGTGAAATCAATCCGGGACGCCGGATTGACGTACCTGCTTGAAGAGAACCCTACGTAGAGCACAAGCTGTCTACTTCGTTGTTTCCTTCAGCTGCGATGAACTAGACTTTCCTGCACGTTCCGTCGTCCTTGTCGCTCGATCGTTTCGCAGACTCCCGCTGGTTGGCCCTTTCCTTCCTTCTAGGTTGTTTTTACCTGAACCCTTAGGAAATGGAATCCTAGGCCGGCGTGTGGCACCGCATTCAGTTCCGTACACAATATCTCAAGTGTGTGTGTGTGTGTGTGTTTATGAGCCACGGCACCGACTGTTAGGTATGTTTTCACGGCAGCTTGGATGGGTCTTCGTTGGCACATGCCATCCAAATGTACATGCATGGGCTCGCATTCTTCCCAGCTGAAAGGGCGGGAGTCATCATCCACGAGTCGACGAGAGCTTGACGATGATTTTCAACGAGGTGAAGAAGGCGATCCCAAGGCTGAAAAGTGTGGTTGGGGATGTCCATCCCAAGGTTGTGAGTGCCGGTGGGGATGATGAGGATGATGTGACGCCAGAAAGGTGTGGTCCATAAATGTTGCTGAGGTCCAGGGCTGAGGCGGGTCTCTGCAAGGCCACCCATCAGGTAGGAAATGAGGCCGGACTCCTGAAGGTAGGTCACGAGCTGAAGTGCCCCCTGATCTGGTAATTGAAGAAGAAGTCGTAATAGGTGGGGAAGAGCGATGTGGCGGAAAGAGGTGGGCGATCCGCAAAGGCTCTGCGACCTTGTAGTTCATCTTCGAGTTGTTCTGAACTGTGATGCAGGATATGGAGTAGACCCAGGGCGGTGAGGAGTTCGTGTGTATAGTGGGCGGCAGTGTGATTGACACGTAGGGCAAGGAGGAGAGTGTTGTCCAGACCCTGAAGTTGAGCGCGAAGATGTGGATGGCTGAACCGATCAAGGAGTGGGGTGGAACAAATCGCAAGAGGTTGGTGAAGAAGAGAGTGAATATGGGCCAAAGAAACGTGTACATGAAGAAGTTCACGATGTAGAACTGCC